TAATAGGTACAAATAAATTAGGTACAAGTAAATTAGATACAAATAAATTAAACACAGTTAAATTAAATATATATAGTTAAATTAGGTACAGTTAAATTAAGTATATAGTTGAATTAGGTACAAGTAAATTAAGTATATTTGAATTAGGTTCAAGTAAATTAGGTACAAAAAAAAAATAAATTAAATAGAGTAAAATTAAGTATAGTTGAATTAGTTACGAATAAAATGAATACAAATAAATCAGATACGAATAAAATAAACACAAATGAATTAGACACGAGTAAATCAATTACAGGTGAATTAAGCACAGTTAAATTAAATACAGTTAAATTAGGTACAGCGAAATGAAGTATCATTGAATTAGGAGAGCGCGAGGAATTGAGAAACGCGATTATCGATGCAACAGAAGGTTCTCGTAACAACAATTCCCCCGACACACCGCCGAACATCGTACTCACCTTCTCGCAGAAGATCCATAAAGAGGTGTAATCGCCCTAAAACCTCTAATCTCCTAAACTGGACGACTACATCGCCGTGGCACGCGTCTAATGCACACAGAGAGGCTCGCGGAGGGGAGAACGTTGGGTGCCCCGGCACCGGTCGTGATTATGGGGTGAACTGTCGGTACGGTGCCCCATAGAAGCACCGTAGCCGCCCCTATGGAGGGGGCAAAATACCCCCGGGAGAGTATATATGTTCTAAGAGCCCTGTGCCACTTTCGCAGTACCAAATTGTGCCCCGTCTAGGACGCTCCGCGTTTCTTATTTCGACTTTTTCTCGCCGCCGCCGACGGGATGCCGTGAAAAAACTATATTTCTGCCGCGCTGAGAAACGATTTAGGGAAATTACGACACGCGTAGAACGTTGCTACGTCGTCGAACCTGCGGGAACTTGATTTTGCAACGCTGTGGATTTTAGGGGAATTGAATTATTGCGACGTTGTGGAATTTTGGGGAGTTTTGTGTCGTAGGAAAATTACGGCAATTAATTTTGTGACGCAGGAAAATTACGGTAATTAATTTTGTGGCGCAGGAAAATTACGGCAATTAATTTTGTGACGCAGGAAAATTACGGTAATTAATTTTGTGGCGCAGGAAAATTACGGCAATTAATTTTGTGACGCAGGAAAATTACGGTAATTAATTTTGTGGCGCAGGAAAATTACGGCAATTAATTTTGTGACGCAGGAAAATTACGGTAATTAATTTTGTGACGCAGGAAGATTACGGTAATTAATTTTGTGATACAGGAAAATTGCAGCAATTAATTTTGTGACGCAGGAAAATTGCGGCAGGCGATTTTGTGACGTGGAAATATTTACGACACATAATTTTCAACGTGGATATATTTACGACACGTGACAGTTTGTGTGCGGTGACTGATCTGGATAAATTTCAATTGAATCAGGGACTGTATTTCTCGTCGGATTGGAACAAGTAAGAGATCTTTTTGTGAATTACAGTCGCAATGAATATTTTTATTGGGTTCGTGGGATGATCGTTTTGAAATTACTATTCGAGGATGTTCGTTTAAAATTATTTATTGTGTCTGTGTTTTTGCGATTTACAATGAACAATTGCAATTTAAAATAGTAGAAAGATTGGAAGAATGGAAAACTTTCACTGTTATTTTTACCTATTTTAATCTATTGATATAATATAGTAATTAAATTTTTGAAATATAATTGCTTGAGGTAATTTATTGACAATATTTGTGCGATTTAAATTTGGTGAAATAGTAAAGTAATGTGACAATTAAATTGGTAAAATATAAAGCACATTTTAAGGCAGTTTGTTCACAATATTTATAAGATTTAACTTTCGTAAAATAGCAAAATAGTCTAACAAACAAATTCGTAAAATATAAAGCATAGTTCGAAGCTGTTTACTGACAATTGCTCCAAGATTTAAATTTTATAAAACAGTAACATAGTGTAACAATAAAATTCGTAAAATGTAAAGCATAATTTATAACAGTTTTTATCGACAATATTTATAAAAATTAAAATTTCGTAAAATACTGAAATAATATAAGAATTAAATTCGTCAAATATAAAGCATTCTTTAAGACAGTTTATCGACAATATTTATAAAAATTAAAATTCGTAAAATACTGAGATACTATAATAATTAAATTTGTCAAATATATAGCACTCTTTAAGACAGTTTATCAACAATATTTATAAAAATTAAAATTCGTAAAATACTAAGATAATGTAACAAATATATTCATCAAATATAAAGCACATTTTACGACAGTTTGTTGATACAAAGTGATATTTCGTTTCACAGAAAGCGTCCACGATGTCCTCGGAGTACTCGTTCTGCAGCGAAGGAGGATTCGACGAGCTGTCGAGTTCCTCGGACTCGGGGTTCGACGTCAGCTTCGAATCGCCTAAACACGAGATCCAAGCCGAGTGCCTCTTCCCGCCGGCGAAAGAAGAAAAGAGGAAGAAAACTCGGAACACGCGGTGTAAGAGCCCCACGCAGGTAAACGCAGTTCTAGCTTCAACATCAGAAATCATAATTCATTATTACTAGAGGGTAGCGTCAATTATGATTTGTATCATTATTAATTTTGAAGAATATCTTCAATTTTGTTCAACAGTAAAATTATTTATTCTTGTATCTACTGAACAGTAGCGTCACCCGTTACAATTTGTATCGTTATTAATTTTGAATAATATTTTCAATTTTGCTCAACAGTAAAATTATTTATTCTTGTATCTACTGAACAGTAGCGTCATCCGTTACAATTTGTATCATTATTAATTTTGAAGAATATCTTCAATTTTGCTTAACAGTAAAATTTTTTATTTTTGTATCTACTGAACAGTAGGATCGCCCATTACAATTTTCACCATTATTAATTTCGAGCAATATCTAATTTTTGTCAACAATAAAATCACGGTCATATAATTTATTTTTGTATTTACTAAACAATAACATTACTCGTTACAATATTCACCATTATTAGTTTCGAAAAACATTTAAACCATCTATCAGTAAATTATTAACAAATTCACTAAAGTCCCCCCCCCCCTAATAAAACGTTAGAAAAATCTGTCCTCTGAAAACAAACAAATTAACATAAAAAATGCCCGGTCAATAAAATCCATAAAAATAACCTCGGCCAAAAAAGAAGTCTGCCTGCGAAGCAGCACTTCGCGTTCCACCTTGAACAAAAATCAAAGAGCCCCGAAAGACGATCGAGAGTGGTTCACGTGTGCCTATTGATCGGCTCGCAGGTGCTCCGGCTGAAAAGGAACCGTCGCATAAAGGCGAACGATCGCGAGCGTCATAGGATGCACACGCTGAACGACGCGTTGGAGCGGTTGAGGATGGCGTTGCCGACTTTCCCGGAGGACACGAAGCTCACGAAAATCGAGACGCTGCGTTTCGCCCACAACTACATTTGGGCGCTGTCGCAGACGCTGGGCAACACGGAGACCGGCGAGATCACGGTGAACGTGGGCAACGTGACGGTGAGCATCGGCGAGAACGGGAACATGATCACGTCGTCGACGGGAAGCTGCGCGGTGGCCGCCCAGAAGCGGCTCGGCCCGTCCCACAACGCGTTCCCCTATCCGCAGGAGAGATTCGTCCCCGAATGGCAAGAATACGACTGCTACAGCGACCAGAGCGTCAGCCCGCCGATGCAGTACCAGCCGTGCTACGACCAGAGGATGTACCACGCGCAACACCAGCTGCCGCCGACCCACCACATGGGCCACAACAACATGTACCAGTGTCTTTAGGAAACGTTTTTCGACGGTGCGAGGTTCAATTTACTTCGAATCCGCGATGACCCACTTGCTTGAAGTCCGCACGGTTCAATTTATCTGATATCTGTACGGGTACGATGACGACAGTGAAAATAAAACGACCGGGCCAAGTGAACGCGCGAGAAAGAGAGTAATCTCGGTGTTAGGGGTGTTATCATAGCGGCGTTGGATAGAGGAGGTTTTTGCGATTAAAATGAGTCCAAACACGATAGTGATCGAATCAGAAAAAGCTTATCACTAGATACAGGGTGGTCGAAATGTCTTGACCGCTATTCCTTGCGTTCGATAATAGGAGAAATCGATACAAAATATCGGGGAGGAACGTTGTATCGTTTGAATGGACAATTGTGACGATGATGAAACGATCGTAATCTTTGTTATTTCAATTCGTCAATGTTTTGATCGCGTGTAGTCAAGATGCATCCAATGACCCGTAATCAGTAACCAAAAAAATACTTCGCCTCGCTTTTCTTCTCAAATGATCGAAGACAACTGAATTACTCAAACTCTCTCTCTCTCTCTCTCTCTCTCTCTCTCTCTCTCTCTCTCTGATCGAATTATTCTGCTCACCCTGTAGATCAGTTTATTAATTAACCGTAGATTGGCTTAAACAAATGCGAATTGCGTCGTGTTTGGACTCATTTTAATCGGAAAAATCTCGGCTATCCGTTGCCGCTACGATTACAAAGATAACGTTGAATTTCTCTCCCGCGTGTTTATTTTTTTACCGGTTGCGGGGTCCATTTAAATGCCGAAACTCGTCCGTCGGCGATTGTAAAAATGATTAGGCCAGTGCGAGCGGTGATCGTTATTTACTTTGTAAGAGAGTACTCTATATGAAACGAATTTCTAGGATTAAGCGATAAGATTCTTTATGATTATGATGGCAACGCCTAAACTCTTGCCCGTTCTTCGAGTCGCAGCTTTAATTTGACCAGTCTACGATCGGCGTAGGAATTACTGCGCGCTGATTGGCTGACGCTGATCGGCTGACGCGTGGGTCGCTGGACCCATTCGCGATTGGATGCGCAGCAGAGTGGTGGGGATGGAAACACTATATTAGGCGAGTGAAACGTGCAGAAGCTTAGGCGTTGCTGCTTTCTATTCCGCCAGGCACGTACTACGAACCGCGTTCCTTTTTCTTTCTAGTCATCGATCATTCTCGGTTTGATCTCGAACGATTGATCTCATCCCTTGTTTCTAGGTTTAGCGTAAGCTTAGCGCGCGACTCCGCCAGTGCTCTTATTGTATTGTGAAACCGCCGATTCAGGGAATATATATTGTACAGAATTTATATCTTATATCAATAAATCATATTTTAACTAGCTGGCTTTTGTTCACTAAGACCTTTCAACGAATTTAATAATTTTAATGTTCTTTGTTATATATATAAATTGGCTATAAATTAATATAATAAGAAAATAATATAATATAATAAATTAATAATAAAATGGCTATAAATTTGGGTACAAATTTTGCGAGAACATTATATTTCTTTAATTAGTTTTCTCTGTTACTGTTCACTTGTAACTTGGAA